CAGTTATTGTTTGCGCTGTTTTAGCCCAAATTAGCCCCAATCCTAACTATCTACTAACTGTATGAATTTAGGATATCCTGGATCCAATTCACAGCTCCTTAAATGTGTACTTCTTGCAAAAGATCGCCAATGTCACTAAATTAATGGATTCTGTGTTAAAATGGGGCAAAGCCGGCTTGGTAAAGCGAAAAGGAAGATGAATCGAGTGTGTCCATTCGAGTGTCTTTAACGGCACCAGTCTAATTGCAAAAAGACTGTCGTCCTAAGTGGCAGTTAGCCACATTCCCGTATCAGCTCATTAGAAACAAAGATAAGTTTAATTGGAAATTATGCGCGAATGATACTGTTAATTTGCTTAATGTTCGCCAAAGTGTTTTGGTAATTATACAAGAATTTCTAATTGCAGATACCAATATTGATGAAGTGTGTGGTGACGGTGGTCGTTCGGCTAAGCGCGATAAGAGAATATGAGAAAACGGTGGCTGTTTTTGTCGGAAATTCCCATAAACAAAACAATACCCATTCGCATTGAAGGTCTGTTTTCACAGAATGGAACTAAAATATTGCTCCTAATAAAAACCACATATAGTCTTGTTGACACACTAATTTGAACAACTGAAATAACACGAGACTACTTTGCAGTACGAAAATGCATGTTTGGCTACTCGTTAGGAAAATAGTTTTGTGGCCATTTAACTGCTATTAACGCGTGATGATGAATACGAGTGAGGAAAAGAGCAAGTTATATGTTTTAAGAACTCTTAGCGCACCATTATTTGCCTGGTAAGTCAGCAGGAGATTTCTAAACACTTCAATGGCTAATAACGTTTTTAATTTCAACAGTCAGACAAATAGATTGATGATTATTCATTGAGTTTCAATGAAACTTTCAGAGGTTCGGCAGCCTAAGCAATACATCTGAAGATGGTAGTCATAAGTGCTGGCAAAAAGTCAGCACCAAGTTCCCATCAACGGTGGTCTAAAAACCCGAAAATCGTCATTTTTCCAATGGTTTCGTCAATATTTTAGTTGAAATGCTGAATAGAGCTGTGGAGTTTCGGATTCGAGTCTTCTCGCGTGCCATAAAAGCTGGTTCAAAATTGGCGCAAAAATATTTTTTCCAATTTCATCTGCCTTGAAGTTGAGATTTTTAAGCCGTGAAGGTGGCAATTTGGAACGCAGCAGCGCACTGGCGATCGCGCATCTCTCATAGAAGCAATGTGTGCGAGTGAGCTAACCGATGCGGGCAACGTTCTCGAGTGCGAAATCAGTTTCATTTAAAATCGAAAATTTGTTCGCACTCTAGGCGAACTCACCTCTGAAGATGCTAGTCAGGAGTGCTAGTGCTACACTAATTCCGTACACCTTGTAGAAAAAAAACTGTAATAAACCATAGAAATAAATAAAATGTGTGTGCCTTCCCATGTAGTGGTTACGAAATACGAAATTAATCATATTCAATAAAGCATTTTAATGTGTTTTTATGGCCGGTATTTGTGCGGTCCCATCACTTTATTATCTGTTGGTGGGTGTAGATGGTTTCAAGGCCCATAATGTCGAATCAATGCATCGACTTCATTAATTCGATTAATCGTGCGACTGTTTAAAATGGGAAATTAAATGTTTGTCGATTGGCTGCAAAGGGCAGCAGCAGGAGCGTTCCTCGTTTCGAATCCGGATGATATTCAAATTAGGACGCAAATTTCGCCCGGTCCATTTCCAGCTTCCGCCACTTCTGGTCTCCTGCTGGGGCGAATTAAAAATTTTAACATTTTAATAAATCATTTTAATATTTAATTTTGGCAATTTTAATCGTTGGAAACTTTAGAGTCTCCCCCCATTACCGATTGAAATTATTCTGTTCAAATTTTAACAAACTCATCAAAGTGTAGATTGCATTGCATATGCGCTCCTGATAGTGGAAAGCTGGATATTCTGGCCTTGTAATAAATAGTATAATAATAATTAGTAGCCCCGGGGGTTAAAAGCTCATGATTTGATGTGAAGAACAGCGGCAAAAACTATTCAATTTTAATGTAAATTGTATGGAATTTATTTATTTATTTAAATCCAAACGCCTCCACCGGCGGAATTTTATTCCAGCTTCTAGCAGGCGACCAGAAGATACCGAGGATTGTTTCAGGTGCATATTCAAATTTAGGACCGAAGTGTGCCTGGAAAGGCGGAGTAAATACGCAATAAGAGAGTTGCCCGAAGTTGAACGTTTCAAAATGATTACTTTTCTGCTTGACTTTGGGTCCTGATTTGTGCGGTTTTTTGCTTCGAAATTTTGCAAACATTTTCAAATCCTAACTCAAGAAGTAAATAAGCGTTAAGGAACGATTTGCGTTGTCTTACAAAGAAACTTCTAAAACTGTTAGACAATGGAAGTCCAAATGAACCATTCGAGCTTATCATTGTCTACACTTTGCAACAGGCATAGGCTGAAAAACACCATCAGTTTCCGACGATTTTTGTTATGCGATTAACAAGCGAATAAATTTGATTTCTTTGGCAAAAAATCGCTACTCTGATTAGCTACTCAAGATCGGCCAGCAGTTATGGCCAATAAACTGCCATTTCATGGGTGCAGTCGACAAAGAGGAAAAATTGATGGGTTTGTTAGTACTAACTCGATTAAGCTCGTGATGCGATCTGGGTTTATGGCAGGAATTATATAAATTTTAAAATTATACTGCAACCGACGTCTCATCAATTTTATATGCGAAGTTATTAATAAATGAATCAATGGAATATTATTATGTTTAAGCTGCTATATATGGCCAATTCATAAAACAGCCACTTCATGTTATATGCTCTGATCGATGTGCTGGGAAAAGAGGTTTATTTCAATTTGAGTAATAAACGGGTTTAGAAAGTGCGATATAATATATTATGGCCAGTGTTGGGACTACAAAACAACCATTTGGTCGTAAATTTTATACCATTTGTACCAAATCGTACCCCGACTTAGATATGTGGCTTTCAGAGCGTCAAGTGGGAGTCGGTGAGAATTACTGTTTATCTACCGGGGATCGTTCGAAAGTCAAAAATTGGCCTAATTGGAAAAATCTGCTCAAAATAGCCCGCGATCAGAATTAGTCATGCTGGGACCAACACTCTGTACATAAATATTCAGCTAATGACAGTCCATAAATGTCTTCAGCACTTTATTGCCGCTATAGTAGAGATAATAAAACAGGCCATGTAGGTGTCATCAAAAAAATGTATATTTCCACGTATCAATCTAAGCACCAGTTTAAGAGCGCACTGGATAACTTTCCCAGCAAGTCAGTCTTTCAGCATTAATTATTGCGGAAACGTACCCTGGTTTATGTTCAAAGTTTCGCAAAAATAAAACAAAAAACAATTTAATAATGCCCGTACATTTCCCGTAATCCTGCTGTGCATGTATGTATGTAACTATAAATAGGCTTTAATTCTCTAACTTATGACAGTCAATTTGTTTGGAAAGATATGTTAAGCCGATTTTCTGCTAGGCGATTTAGCGATATGACGTTCAGATTGAATCGATTTTTGATCGCAATTTAGGATATTTGCATTAATTATCTCTCGTCAATAAGAGCGTTAAACTGCTAAGCAATATTAAGTCTAAGCTTGGCTATTTTTATTGCTAATTTATCCAGGATGTTCGAAAAACAATGCAACAAGTCACCAGATGAAATTTTTGCTAATTTAGCGCGGCTTAAAATCGTGCTCCTTTAGAAAATCCGGATCATATAAATCACTTGATACATTAATAAACATAAGTGTGTCGTTGTTCACTGCTAATGCTCGTTAAAAAACGCTTTCAGTGATAAGTTCAGTAAAAACTTGAGTGCAAATTACGTACGATGTGCTCAAATCAAGTTTTTATGCTTGCACTCATGAGGAATGGATCGGGCTCGATGGCATCCATTAGAACCCATTGAAACAGGTTGAAAATATCAAAATGTCTAAACAAATCGATTTCGGGTTTGCCAAATGCCCGGAAGCAGATTTTCCACGTCCAAAAACTCACCAGGTTCAAAATTGTGCTTGTGCATCTTAAAACATTACTTTTTTACCATTTGCGACGGTCAATCTCCTACTTGGGAATTGCAAAAACGAATTGAAAAACTCGTTGGGCGAAAAAAAAAAACGAAAATGGTTTTTCTGTATTTCCTGTGCTCTTTTGTTCCGATTTAGGACTGGTTAACAAGCAGGATTTAACGTCTATTAGAGTTGAAAATCCCCGACACTAACTGGACTTAGACAAATCCTGAAAAAACACAGGCGAGACGATTGTTAAAAGAGTAATTGACACCAAATCGTGCTAAGTTGACCAGAAAAGCCCTGCTGAACGTCAGTTACGTTCGACTCTTTACTCTCGGTAACTCCTAACGAGCGGGTTTCCTCTTTGGCCTTTTTTTCCGAAAGCCTTAAATGCCAATTTGCTTTAACGCAACAACGCGCTCGTGTGTAGCGAGTTTAATTACAAGTTTTGACGTGTGATTTTCAGGATAATGATCATCTCGCGGCCGTAATTACATGGATCTGGTCGCAAAAGGCCTGACCAGCAATTCGGACAATTGAAAAATGATCATTCGCATTAACGAGCGAAAGTCTCCGGCGGAAAAATCAAGTAGAAGAGAAAAATCAGGGCTCTATTGTTTTGCATCCGCAGCCAAGTTCCTCTTGAATGAACGGTCAATTATAATTGACTTTATTTTATCGATAAGCCTGTTATGTTGGCCACATTGGGGCTCACGGTTTATTTTTGAGGAGTCGTCGATGTGGAAGAATAAATGGGACGTTTCCAACGATAAGTTTTGACGGGAAAAATGATGAAAATTTTGCTTGATTTCTAAAGACCGAGCGAAACACAAAGCAGGTCAATCTGATCATTTTTTGCCTAAAAATTGCTTCATTTAATTGGTCACTGAGCTTTGTCAAGTCAAAAACCAACATTCTCTGGACCATTCAAGGGTTACGGCATTCTTTTGGTAACATTATTGGAAAATCCTACATTGTCTTCCTCAGAAGAAGCTTTTGAAGGTGCAAAAGTTTAATCACTGTAACTTCTAAACGACTTATCCGATTGTGTATTTCGTTATTTTGTTTTTATCAAAAGCACCGCATTAAAAACATTCATCGTTAGCGTCCCTGGTTTATGAATACTGGTATCAAGTTTAGCGGGTTTGGGACGGTGAACAGAAACTCTTTATTTTCTTGAAAAAGCCTACGTTTCGACTATATATTTAGTCTTCCTCAGCCTAGGGGGCTCGAAACGTAGGCTTTTTCAAGAAAATAAAGAGTTTCTGTTCACCGTCCCAAACCCGCTAAACTTGATACCAGTATTAAAAAATCTTTCTTTTCAGTTCTAAAGCTGAAATCTGGATTTATTATAGTAGACATAAACTGTAAATAAGTAGAAACCACATGCTAATAAACTACTAATTTATGTATTGAGTTGAAGCGGCAGATATGAAATGTTGCATTATTATTATTAATGGGATTAAGCATGGCTTTATGATAATTATCTTTGAGCTTAATTGATCGGGAAATTAAATCGACAGCCCGATGAATTAAGTAGTGATGTCGGGCAATGCCGTAAAAGGTCTTGGATCTTCTAGATGTTAGAGCTGAGCCAATAAAAGTCACGAAATTAATGAACCGAAATATGGAACCTTTTCAGGTTGTTCCCAAGATCGTTTTTATTGCAATAAATTCCTGTCGTAAAAACGTGTTGAAACTTTTGCTAACGATCATATTTTTGGCATCTTCAGACTGCGATAAAGTACAGTTCGAATTGCCCACTCCACACCAAGGACTTTCAGGCTTGCGATTTTATGAGACTGGAACGTCTGGCCAAGACCACTGCAATGGACGTTTATCTATTTTATTATGGTTTAGATGTTACGTTATGTGAGTTATAACAGTTTTGCCGGATTTCAAAGAGTGAAAATAGGAAAAACGGGTTGTTACAAAACTTGCCGCTTAGCAGGAATTAATGGATTTTTCTAGCAAAACAACATCAATATTCATTCCCTCATTGCCTGCAATTAATCTCTTAATGTCTATAACTTGCAACGGCATAATCAGCCCAAACGGTCGAAAATAAAAGACTAAAGGCGGAACAACCGAATATTAATGATCGCTAAAATTATGATCCAAGCCACAATCAGAACAACATTTAACGGCATGTTAACGAGAACTTTAATAAATCTTTGGGTGTTGATGGCTGATTCGATTTTGTATCTCAGAGTTTATTAAACTTTGATTTAACAGCGGCGTTTAAGCACTTCAAACATTTTCAATTTTTTCTGCATAATGCAATCATTTCTAGAAGGCAGAAAAATATGCAAATCAGCGCCGACGCCCCAGCAATTTATTAATCAATTCAATAAATCAACTGTTGGTTTCTAATTATTTTTCACATGATTTTATTTGCTCAGGCAATTTTGGTTGTTGGCCCCGCTCGTATTAGCCGAAAATTAAATTGGGAACGTAAATCATGATGATTCATATAAAGCAAAAGCTCGATTGGATCGGCCTTTTTTTTAATAATGAGATTTTATGATTTGCGATTTTAACTTTAAGCCTTTGTGAGTGGGACCTTGGCTGTAGCATGAAAATTGAAAGCTTTGGATGCAAAAACTAAATTGGGATTTAAATCGTAAAAAACTGTTGGCGTAATATTAAGCTAGCAGGAATGGTTTTAAAGTGCTAATTATTCGGTCGCCATCGCTTGGCAGCTATGGTGCGAAAAGGCTCAGGATTTCGATATCTTTTCCTGTTTTCTGTTTTCCTGCTGCGAGAGTCGCGCAATTTCGCGGTGCTTTGTAGGGGAGCCCCATTGCGCGACGACAATCTGGCAGCGAGGAAACAGAAATCTTTTTAATAAATTTACGAAATTTAATGGAAATTCCAGTTTATGGAAAGAATCAAGTGTGGTCTCTGCAAAAGAATTCGTTTTTAAGGGCTTAAGATTTGCACTTTTCTGAATCATTCGAAACAAATTAATTTCAACTTCCCTTTTTGATCATCAATAAAATACAAATGAATATATTTTCTGTGTGTCTTGTGACGTAAATTATTTGGTTTTGTTTCAGATTTCGTGCGTGTTTGAAAACAGTGGGCACCAGTGACGCAAATCTTGTAGGAAAATTGTTCTTCAATGTTGTTCAAACCAAATGTTTCGTGTTGAAGCCGAAAAAACGATGCGTGCGAACTTCATGGTGGGGCAATTGCGAAAAGCACAAAATGGTCAAACAGGCTGTTATCAAGAATAACAGACGATTCTAAATCGATTCGATGTGGTGCCGCAGAGAGAACAAACAATCAAATGTAAAATTTGTAGAAATATTATGTTAAATAGAGTTAAGAATTAGGTAATGAAATTGGTAATAAATAGATTAATTATTGTCATTTCCTTGTTCATGATTTCCACACCACTCACAATATTAAATTATTTATTTCTAGTGTGTTTTTCTCACTTCTTTGTTCAAGTGCTTCAATTCTCTACTCTAGAATTTTATTAGTGGAGTTTCTGCACTAGCGTGAAAATTGGGGGAAGCATTCTCAAACGATTTTTATTTTAAAAAAGTGCGCAGTTTCCGCCTCTGAAAGACAGCGATAACTAGGGTTTCGCAACTCAACTGATTCTCTAAATTTCAGTTAAAAACTATCAGCGGTTCTCATAATCCGCAAAAATTTTGAATTGTTGGATTTTGCGCCAAATCTACAAATATTCGTAAAACGATGATTGGTCTAAGAAAGTATCCAATTTAAGACTCTATGCCTCAATGACAACTTTAACTTTGTAGCTCAAACCGTTCTCTAAAAATAAGCGAAAAATTAGGAGCGCTTTCCATAAACCCCAAAAATTTTGAATTTTTGCATTTTCCGTGGAAATGAAAACATTCGTAAAATATTTTTGGCGCAGGAAATATTGCAATTTAAGGCTCTATCCCTCAATGGCAACTAGAGCGTTTCAACTCAACCGGTTCTCAAAATATGCAGGAAAGTCTAAGTGCGGTTCTCATAATCCGCATAAATAGTGAATTGTTGGATTTTGCGTCAAATCTAAAAATATTCGGAAAACGATGATTGGTCTAAGAAAGTATCCAATTTAAGACTCTATGCCTCAATGACAACTTTAACTTTGTAGCTCAAACCGTTCTCTAAAAATAAGCGAAAAATTAGGAGCGCTTTCCATAAACCCCAAAAATTTTGAATTTTTGCATTTT